ACACAGACAATATTAATTGGGAGGTTAAAGGTACTGTACTCGTAATCCTGTACACAGATAATATTAATTAGGAGGTTAAAGGTACTGTACTCGTAATCCTATACAGACAATATTAATTGGGAGGTTAAAGGTACTGTACTGGTAATCCTATACAGACAATATTAATTGGGATGTTAAAGGTACTGTACTCGTAATCCTATACAGACGATATTAATTGAGAGGTTAAAGGGACTGTACTCGTAATCCTGCACACAGATAATATTAATTGGGAGGTTAAAGGTATTTTAGTCGTAATCCTATACAGACAATATTAATTGAGAGGTTAAAGGTACTGTACTCGTAATCCTGCACACAGACAATATTAATTGGGAGGTTAAAGGTACTGTACTCGTAATCCTATAAAGACAATATTAATTGGGAGGTTAAAGGGACTGTACTCGTAATCCTGCAAACAGACAATATTAATTGGAAGGTTAAAGGGACTGTACTTGTAATCCTGTACATAGACAATATTAATCGGGAGGTTAAAGGTACTGTACTCGTAATCCTATACAGACAATATTAATTGGATGGTTAAAGGGACTGTACTCGTAATCCTGTACACAGACAATATCAATTGGGAGGTTGAAAGTACTGTACTCGTAATCCTATACAGACAATATTAATTGGAAGGTTAAAGGGACTGTACTCGTAATCCTGTACACAGACAATATTAATTGGGAGGTTAAAGGAACTGTACTCGTAATCCTGCACAGACAATACTAATTGGGAGGTTAAAGGAACTGTACTCGTAATCCTGCACAGACAATATTAATTGGGAGGTTAAAGAAACTGTACTCGTAATCCTGTACAGGCAATATTAATTGGGAGGTTAATGGGACTGTACTCGTAATCCTGCACACAGACAATATTAATTGGGAGGCGAAGGGGACTGTACTTTTAATCCTGCACAGACAATATTAATTGGGAGGTTAAAGGGACTGTACTCGTAATCCTATACAGACAATATTAATTGGGAGATTAAAGGGACTGTACTCGTAATCCTGTACACAGACAATATTAATTGGGAGGTTAAGGGGACTGTACTTGTAATCCTGCACACATAAAATATTAATTGGGAGGTTAAAGGGGCTGTACTCGTAATCCTGTACACAGACAATATTAATTGGGAGGTTAAAGGGACTGTGCTCATAATTCTGCGCAGACAATATTAATTGGGAGGTTAAAGGGACTGTACTCGTAATCCTGCACACAGACAATATTAATTGGAAGGTTAAAGGGACTTTTAACGTAATTTTAAGGGATCTTCCACTTAGAAAGGATTTTTCCAGATTCCCAACTGTGACCTTTAAACCTTTGAATAATCCAAGATGACAGAGTTTTGCTTTGACTGATCATTGAGGACTGAGAACTCAGTGTATTTCTCTTAGATGAGTGTAAAAGCTTTCAAATTGGAGTGAACACTAATGTACTGTGTGAACCATAGATAAAGATAGATTGCGCATAAGACGACATTTTTCATTTTGAACGATATAAATGTACAGAGATGCTTTAAAGATATTCCTATTATATAGATAAACTAGATCGGTTGTGAACATTGGCTGTTCTTATGTCATTGAGTACTTGTTTACATGAGTTCTGAAGAGAGAAATTTAAGTTAGTTTAGTCCTTCTCATGTCCCTCTTCAGTTCTCGTCAATATGGTATATTGCTCAGTGAAATATTGCTGTTCAAATAGTTTCATTCCCGGAGTTATTTTACACTCTATTATGAAATCCATTAAAACACCAAACTACCCCACTTATCATTGAAGTATACTTTGACCCCTAGAAGTATGAGTTCGCGGACTGTACAATTTCTGGTGATTTTGCGTACATAAGCTATCTATGTTTATTTATTTATCTATGGTGTGAACTCAATAAGAATGGCGTCCCTTTTGTTCCTGCTAAATCTAGAATATTCTTTGTCCACCGTTGTTTTCAGAAATTCAAATGTGAACATTAATATTCCGCCATTTTTAGAAAAGAAGTATTAAATTATATTTCTTAAATATAAAACAGCTTGCAAAAAAACTGTTGTAATTATAAGCATTTATGTAGATATATTAAAATCGAAAATGAATTTAAATTATGAATGTTGGTTAGATCAATCATTAATTCAATAACTTCAAGAGAAAAAGTAACATTATCTGTCCTTTTTCAATGTAGATGATTGAAACTATTATTTACCTATGTATTTTTATGTTTTTTTTCCAGAAACTAAAATGATTATTTTCTTGCAATTTAATCTGTAATTAAACTAGGTACTTAAAAAATACTCTTTTGCGATTCGCACACATATTCAATGAATTGACTCATATCAATTATTTGATATGAGTCTATTTGAATTGAACACTTAAAATTTCCTTTTTTTTTGACTTCAAACCCTTAAAAAAGCACTCTTGTTTTTGAAAATTTTCGAAAAAGGCCGGGGGGAAACCCGCCCCCTTAACCCCCCCAAACCCTAACAAAATAAAATACTGCCCCCCCCCCCTAGCAAAAGTCCTAGTTGCACCTCTGGGAAGGATCCTGAATAACACAGGTTTGCTCCTATTATTATTTGAATTTAATTATTTTTCATTTGTAATAGATACAATTGATAGTATGATTGATACATCCTTATCACGTGACCAGAACTCCCACCAATGGAAGTGCAGTATTATTGTCACGTGATACAGATGGAGACACAGTTTTATATTAATTTCTCTAGACAGGAACTCTTATAGATTTTGATCAACTCCTGAAGTTTGTAGGTTTCAGCCAACCCCCTTTCATTTTTAACTTTACAGTCGCTTTAAAGGGACTGCAAGTGTAATTTTAAGTGACCCTTCTAGCACCTGATGTCGAATGTTCTCTAGAACCCCAAGAGTAATTATCACCAGAAACACACTATAAAATTAATATAATTAATAAATCTACCATAGGTTAGTTCTGGAGGGTTGGGAAAACCTGTTAATTTATGTTGATTTTTAGAACTAAAGATTTATAGGTCCTGGATCGTATATAAATATTCTGTTTTTGTTTGATGCGCATTGATGTTGTAAGTTGGGCTGTGCATGTTCAGACTTTAACGCTAGTTAAAATAGTTAACTGTTACCAACTTTTCAGGTAGCTATTTGTTCTTTAATATAAATTAATAACTAAACAATTACCATTTTCTGTTCTTTCTTATATTTACCGTTTGTTGAGGATCTCATTCCGAAATCAGAAATCAGATAACAATCATTTCAAGTAAAAAAGTTAAATAAAAACACCAAAAACATCAAAACATGTAAAAAAATTATAAACACATCAATATGTTTTATCTTCTGTAAGTTTCATGCAATTTTAGGCAGAAAAGCTAACAAAAGTTGCCGTTTTTTATTTTGGTTGATTTTTTCATTAATGACTTCAAAAATAACAGTTTTTCACCTTTTGTTCTTCCATTCATTTAATAAAACTTGCTGTTTATTAATAGAAAATTATCCAGCCCTGGTCATAAGTCTTACTAACCTTGTGATAAACCAGACAAACCATATATCTATCAGGATCAGCCCAGAGGTGGTTGGAACACTCGACTAAAATGATAGTCCTGACAGTAAAACTTTTGTTTGGGTTATTGCAAAGCGGCAGCCTTCAGTGCCTGAACTCAATATCCAGAGTGGGCAATGGGCAAACTTTTAAGTTGTGGCATTAACTCCTCTTATTGCAGAAAGGTATCATTGCTGACACCATTGTGGTATCCTGTGGCTAATGTTTTATAGCCATCAACATGAAAGGTAGTTGGCCGAGTCTTGTCAGATTTAAGGCACAACAGTTTCACCCTTAAGTACCCATGATAATGTTACCATGGAATCAGCCTAGTATAGAAACCCGGAATGGGGTTCCTGGATAGAATGTAAGGTCTACTGACCCAGCGTGTACAGTGCGTGATAAGCCCATGAAAAATTGCTCGACTGGGTTTGTGCATCTAGAATACAGGTAATGGAGTAAGGCCAAGTTTGTTGCTCGTGCTAGGAGAGGATGAAGAAATTCGCCAACTCCCCATAGTGACAGGATGGACATTGGACAATCTAAGAAGCAGTCAGTCCATAGGGATGGAAACTGCTTGGTTGTATCGGAGCTGTGGGAAAAACAATACATGTTGCTGGGGGAGATATGTTGCCGGAGGAGATATGTTGCTAGAAGAGATATTTTCCCAGAGGAGATATGCCGTTGGAAGATATATGTTTACAAAGGAGATATGTTGCTGGAGGAGATGCCATGTTATTAAAGGTGTCTGGCCAACAGAGATTTCTAGCCAAAGAAGGTATCTAACCCAAAGGAGATATCTAGCTAAAGGAGGTATCTAGCTAATGGAGGTATCTAGCCAAAGGAGAAAACCATAACTGAGTATAGGAAACCCAAACCTGTGACTCTGGATGGACTGTAGTAGCAGTATATCTGCATTGCTTTAGTTCTTTATTTCTTTCATTTTATTTCTCTTGTAATATAAATGTTCATATACTTTGTTCTTTTATTGGTGTGAGACTTGAAGACTTCAAGGATATTGATATCCCCCTTTGGGTGGTTCCTCTCATATTCAACTATTTAACAACAACTTCCATTAAAAAATGTCAAAACAATACAGTCAATGATTAAAACGATTAAAGCACTGTAAACTACAGTTCATTTGAAGTACCAGACTGAATTTGAGAAAGCTAGCACAGTAAATAAACAGACTGCAGACAACTATAATAGTACAGAACACCAAATGAAGCATCTCCCTCCCGTGTGTTTATTGTGAAAAATATGCGGAGTTTAGTTAGAACTCTCTCAGTTGTCAACACTTTAGGGGTTTCACCAAAAAAAAAAGATTTATCTACTTCTTAAATTTATTTTATTACCTGGACATAAGCCAGAAGTGATACTAGAACTAGAAGCACAGTAATGCCACCCATGATGCGTTCATTAAAATTCTCCAACTTCATAAATATGCTTTAATAACTAGATTACTTAAAAATGACTCAAAGAAGTTCGTAGTAAGATTTCGATTCTACTGGAGACCACCGGAGGGATTTTATTTTCACTGGAGGGGTTTCAAAAAATGATTTTTACAATTTAAAACTTTACGCAGGGTGTTTTACATTCCACTGGAGGGATTCAGATATCCTCTTAGGGGTTTATAATTCCACTGGAGGGATTCAGATGTCCATCCTAGGGGTTTATAATTCCACTGGAGGGATTCAGTTATCCTTCATAGGGGTTTATAACTCCACTGGAGGAATTCAGTTATCCTTCCAAGTATCTGAATCCCTCCAGTGGAATGTAAATCACCCTGCGTAAAATTTTGAAATGTAAAAAGCCTTTTTACAAACACCTCCAGTGAAAAAGAATTCCCTCCGGTGGTCTCCAGTGGAGTCAAAATCTTACTACGAACTTCTGTGACTCCTTAAAAATGTTAGTTGACATTTCATACTCTAAACACACATAGGGTTAATAAACCCCCACGATCTTATAAACTTGTAGGTAACATGGACTACTACAGCGATAAAGTAAACCCATAGCCATCGCATATGTCATATATACTCTGGTGGGCTGCAAAAATTGGCTGAAATATTTAAAAACTTCTTAATATAACATTATGTGATAGAAATTCAGCATTTTTTTACCCTTATAAAGAGAGTGAAAAATGCCAGGAGCCAAAGAAGGAATGTTTGAAAGAAGATCGAGACCAAAAACTCAGAGTACAATCTATCCAGTTCAATTGAGAAGATGAATTTAGAATCCATGCCCGCAATATCTGAGGTCCAGCTAAATAAACATGGTTATTATAAAGAGTTACCAACTAGTTTGAACAATATTATTGTTTCCTACTTGAGCATTCCAACTCTGAAAAGTCTGAGATTTTCAGGACCTTTATATGTAACAGCAGCATCTGAATCTGACACTAGTTGGACTGTGTTTGAGTCCCCCAACCTTAAATACAACTTTATCAATACTCTTGCATATTTAGAATTTACAAAAACTTACCTTAACATAATTGAAACATTGCACATCTGCCTGTCAAATGGAAACATGAAGACCTCCATGTTACAGAAGAATGTACCCTGTTAAATCATAAGCTAACAATATAAACTCACACAGGGGTCATGACATTTGGAGATAATTTTTAGGACCAAAAAAGTGTAATTGTTCTACATTTAAGAAAAGGAAATCTTTGAATGATAGATTGAGATTTCAACTGATTCAATTGGTTCTTGAATCTACAATTATAGGTTTGTTATGTCCTTTATGATGCACATGTGCACAAAAAATGGCTTTCCTTTAAAAAAATTCAGAAATGGTTTCGAAATGTAAGAAAATTTGAAATCATAATCCACAGAAATAATCTCTATTACGTCATTTTCACTTCTCCCACTTGTGTGAAAACTTCAAAGAAATTACCTGAAACCTCTTTTGCAATTTCAAAAGAACATTATTTCCATGAAATGTTATGATTTCAACAGCATTTGTAATTGATGCCTTCTCTTCCAAACCTGTTGGGATAGCTTTCAGCTCAGTTATTTCTCCAACCACTGTAGTTCCCAATATCACGTTTTCCAAGTAAATATTAGGCTGCCAGATATTGGCCTTAGAGCTATCTACAATTAATCAAATTTGGACTACTCCATGTTTATTAAATTCAAGATTATGAGATTCAAGAATATTATTACTCTAGGTTCATGAGATTGGGAATACGTATACATTAGATTTGAGAGATTCCAGATTATGTTTAAGCTAAACTATAGGTACAGGGAAAGTTTATGTAATTGACCTTAGCTGTTTAATTGCTTTGTAAGAAAAATAGAACAGTTCGATCTGTAGTGCACTGATATCATTAAAAAATGTTATTTCATCTAGAAAGGGCAATAACAGCACAAGGAACAAGGTTCATGAGAATGGTTGTTAGCTAGATGTGAGTTCAACTTAACTGGCATAATGGCAGTTTTTTATACCTGTAAAATTTAATATATTAATCAATACAATTATACACATACCCTTTATATCATGGGTCTTATAAGGTGTAAGACCTTTAAATAAAAGTCTTGGATCCTTCCAAGATATTTTCAAATCCATTGTCAGGGTCATGGTCATTTTCAAACTATCAATATTGTCGAACTGAATAATATCTACAGCTATAAACATCGAGTTATTCATAATTTCTGCATTTGGAGGTTCATAAATTGAATATATCTTATCAGTGAATATACGCATACAATCATCTTCATCAGAACCATCATTACAATCCAAATGGTTATTGCAATACTTATCAATATCAATACATTGCCCTGAATTGCAAGTAAAGCTATGTTTCATATTACAAGCTGAAAAAGTGAGCAAAATTTCTTCTCTAGATAATTTACATTCCTCAGAAGTTCCAAGCCAAGTCTTTCTTCCTAGTGGATTATGATCATCTTTGATGGTCCATACAATTTCCTCTCCTCTTTCATTTAACAACTTCCATCCATGTTCACTTCTAGTGATAGAGCTTCCTTTATATCCAAGATACTGAATTCTATTTTCATTAGAGTCTATGTAGTAGTTATAGGATTGCATGAAGTTAAGACAAAATCCTTTTAATGTAAATACAGGTTCATGGTAAAATGCACAAGCAAAACATTTGCTTAGGAAGTCACAGCTGTCACTTCTTTTACTGCCCCACATTCCATCCAGTCCAACAAATCCGCATGTATCACCTTCCTTGAGTTTTAACCAATTATTGAATGTGTTGTTGGTCCCTTTTATTATTTTGTTGTCCCATTTAGCCAAAATATTGATCCAGGATTCCTTTGAACAGCTTGCCTTGGATTTATGAGTCATCTCTACAAGCCAGTTATTTTTGGACCTTGAAAAAGGTGTAAATATATACCCTTGGTGGATCCTACAATAGTTTTCAGCATCATTGTAATTCATTGAATCTGGTACGAATATTAACTTTTCGAAGGGGGCACAAAATTCATCCACACTTGTCAACACAGGGTAAATGCCATGAAATGTGATATATTCTTTTTCCCAAGTCACAATGTTCCCTTTAAGTGCTGATTTACATATTGACATTTCAGTGATAGTGTCTGTTGATAGGGTGTAGTTCCAAATATTAAATTCAGACATTTTCCCTCGCATTGATTGATTAGGATCAAAGTCTCCGTTAAGTGAATCAGGTTCCTGACCAATTATCATTGAATATTCAGCAGATTTGTTAATTGCTATACTTGTAAAAGGTGAGGTAGAAGTATATTCTGAACTAAGGTTTCCGTTGATGAATGCTTTACTTGTGGTTCCGTTATTCAGCCAACAAATGTGAATCCATTCTCGATGAAGCATTGTACTAGGTAAAAAGTTTTTTTTGTTGGAAAATAATGGAGAAACTTTATAAAACCCATTTTTACATCAGCTTTTTTTTCTGATGGGGGGGGGAGGATTAAATGTCTGAAAGCATACCTTTTGACTACACTTTTGATATTGATATTGCAATTCAAAAACACAACTTGCATAAAATGATTTTATGCAGTTTACATCAAGAAAAATTTTTCACAATTTACATGTAAAGAGTTTTGAAAATAAATTTCAGAGGGATTGGTCCTTAACTTTTATGCAGAAATGTAATGAACATATGTTCAAAATAATAGGCTGTAACATGCTCTTAAAATTAGCCAATGGGCAGGTTATGATTATTTGCACAAAGTTCCACATAGGGTTTCCAACACAAGTGGATTGTACTTGCGTGCAATTGCGAGCCCTTCCACGCAAGTGAATTTAATTACGCTCAATTCCATAATAATTGTGCGCAATAAATGCAAACTTTCTTGAGTTTGTGTTTAAATTTTTTAAAAATATTCAATTTAAACCTTATGATTTGCAATAATTGCAATTAATTATTGCGCAATTCCCGTCAACAACAAAAGAATTCAATTTAAACTTTATAAACTGAACTTCACTAACATTTCAATCTCAAATGCTATCAAAATTGAATGTAAACTTAATCTTTTGTTTTATAATATTTATATACAGCATTATAACCAGAAAACACTCTGGCATAAGAAGACAACATTTTAGACCCAAGCAGACCCATTTAACTGAATAAGTGATTTAATAAGTTATTAATTAAAATTTGTTGCTTTATAACGAAATCAAATACACTGTAATGTTGTCTTCCTGTACCATAGTTTTCTGGTTCTCACTGTAGCAAAATGTATAATTTTTATTAAACAAACAGCTTACAATTTTTACCAAAAAAAGTTTCCGTTTAAATGTTCATCCAATGTGAACAAATAAAAAATGTAAATTAGTAGCTTAACCACAAGAAGCTTTAAAATTTCAAAACTGTTGAAACAAGTGACTCTCAGGGGCCTCAATTATTTTAAATTCTTTTATCAGCTGCATAAATTTGTAAGTCACAGTTAAAATTTTTACAAATTTTAGATGGAAAAGCAATTTCGTTGCACGCAATTCCACGAGTATTTATGTACTTCTTTGTTCGCAATTATATTGCAATTCCACTCAATGAAATGGCACAAGTGGAACCAATCATTGCCTGCGAAACAGAATTCTGATTGGGAACCCTAGTTCCACAACATGTTAAGCCATTCTGTGCAAATTTGGGAAAATTTGCTTTGGGGAAAACCCAATTTATACCTTCCTAAAACAGTCCGGTTATAGTGTGTGTCATTTATTGAAACCCATGTATTAAACAATACTGTAGTTCCATCATTTTCATTCTCTGTATCTGTTTTTACGTAGAGCTGAACCAAGTTGACAATATCCATGGTGCTAAAACTCCAAAGAGCACTGAAAGAATAGTATTTATAGCTATGACATTTGTTTATTTATAGAAGAAGAGTCACACTTCCAAACTTAAAAAAGAATTCTTAGGTGACCATGGTCATTGGTCATGGTCAGTGAGAGATCTGTTCCGAGTTAAATTATTTACATATGTTCAGCAATAAGCATGTTTTAAGATCACAAAAAAAATTAAAGCAACCTGTGATCATTTCTATTTTCTCTAAACAATTTATTGGCTGTAACGATCTAATTTTTGTTATAATTACACCTGATAAAGTATCCTTGAAATGTGAAATAAACCCAAGCACAAATAGAGAATTGCTCAAGACTCATATCATTCCAGTCTCCAGACCTTGGTCTAATCTCCAACCACTCAGATGTACCCGTATCATTTTCCTAAAAGTATCCAACTGAATTTTTTTAGCTAGTTCTTCTTATCCATATCTGCTGGACCAACATTATTTCTGGATCAAATACAAATATTTTAACTCTGCAAACATAAATTTTTTTTTAAATCTAGATATTTATTTACGTATCAAGGTTATTATGGTTTACAAGATTGTTAATATGGATTTAACACAAAACTTTCTTACGATGCTATCATGTACATACAATTATAAAACAATAAGGTCGAAATCAAGTATTCAAGTATTGATAAAGCAGCAGTTCGAGAGAAAAAACTACATTATACATTGAAGGATAGCATACTTTTATTAAATATAACTGGAATATGCTACAAACACAGTGTGTGTTATCTTTTATTGGAAAATGCTACAATTAACAGTGTGCATGCTTTCACATAAACATACACGGGAGCGAGTTTCCCTTTTTACTTTAAAGAAGATTATTGTGAGCTTCATAGCTTCTTAGCATCATTTTAAGGGAAATTATGTTAATTCGTTAATATTGAGGCTTCATAAGCCAGGTGAAAGAAGGAACATAATAATTGAGAAATATACTAAATAAGAACATGGATGGTTCACCGTTAGTATCTACATAGGCTAGTATAGAGACAAGATTTTAGTCTCTTCGTGTTCCTCATAAATTGATGGTAAAGTTTGACGTAGTTTGCAGCATTCAACTAAAGGTAACCTATGACCAAATTTAATGAATTTAAGCCGTGTTTCAATCGAGCGCCGGCTTAAATCTTGAAATATTTAATACTATTTTAAATGGAACCAGCCATATTTGAGCTGCGGCTTAAATTTAAACCGCTGTTCAAATTCTTTCAATTCGGCCTCTGATTTAGCAATATTCTTTTATGAAAGAATAATCACAGTCCTGCCCTTTCTTAAATGTGGTCTGTCATTTTTGAGCTTTCATAATTAATGAAGATATGGATGATTTCATTCAGAATGATACATTTTCATGGTTTTACTGAATAAATTGGAATTTTAAAAAAATTCTCAATATCTCTGGTATTTTTTAAAGCGAAAACATAGCAGACCACATTTTGGAAATGGCAAGATTAGGGCTATTTTGTGATTATTGTTTAATTAAAAAATATGGGTAAAATCCGGTTACATGTATTAAATGCCGCAAGCTATTTCTAAGGTTAAAGACGACTTAATCAATTATATTATTCTGGGTGATTTTTAAAATATGACTGTAGTTGCTTATATCCCAGAAACAAATTATCAACACAATCTGGAAAATCAATCCTGATTCCTTGAACTCGATAATCGATAGTGGGCACTTTTGATTTGTATTCAGAATCTGTTTGATCTCTTGATTGTGTATACCCGCTGTTGGTTGAACCAGGCCCGTAGCTAGGAATTTATAAACAGGGGTACACAAAAGCAAAAAATAGCATAAGTAAATATGGAAGAAGCTCGGCGCAGCCAAAAATTTTTTTTACCTAAAAAAACTTAAAAGGGTAAAAATAAATGAGCTAAGAATTAAAAAACAAGATTATTAATATACAATTAAACAATTAATCTAAGATTTTTTTAATGAAAGCTCAGAAAGAAAACCTCCATGCAAAGATGGTATAATGCCTGATACAAAACGGTTCCCTTAAAAGCTTTGTCTGATCAAGTATGAATTATCAATGTTTACAATTTTGGAAAGTATTTATTTACAATTTTGGATTCACCACTGAAGTGAATTGTGTAAAATAATTTACACGAAGAAAAAAAAATATCAGAATTAAGTACGATCTTAAACCTAACAAAACGACCAAATCTTCCACATTTTTAATCAGATAAATGTAAATCTGGCTTAAAGGTTCATTTGAAATTACGCTTACAGTTCCTTTTAAGTGATTTGAAGTTATTTTTAATTAATTTGAAAATGTAGAAAATTACGCCTCTGCCTCTTTAATAAAAGTAAATTCAATCTATATGAAGCATAAAGTCTGACCGCGTCAACCTTGTTGCACCGGTTAGTCCTGTCCATAGAGCTAGGTACAGTACAAACTGGGAACGGAAAGGTTGACCCGGCTCAGATATTCAAATGTACTACGGTTGCACGTGAAATACACACTACAATAAATAGGTAAGTTATGCTTAGGAATTTTCTTCATTTTCTAAAATTATTAGATTTTTCATTGTCTTGAGTTATTATTTTGTATTTATTAAAAAGGTACATAAGTAAGATTGTCTAAAAGACAAAGACGACCTTCAAGTTTATTTTATCTACACAACTATCTTACAATTTTTATGTCAAGCTAATTCACCCAGTATAAATTTATAGCAAATTGGGCAAAGGGTTAATGAGTTATGATCGGTCTCGCAAAAAATCAGAAAACCGAGATTACTACTTTATTATAAGAAATAAGTTTTTGACACAAATTTAAATTTTCTAGTCTCTTTATCTTTTAAACCTAACTGTTTAATACTTTGATATTTCAAACTTAGACTATAATTTGGCTTAACAGGTGTCATAGTTGGAAATATCTGAAGTCTATATGACCTTGGGTTGCCAAAAAATTGGGGGGGAAAAAAAAGTTTGTGGCAAAGACTCAATTGCTTTTTGCTACAATCAGATTCAATGCTTTACTGTTTATGGTAGACGTTTAAGAACTAAACATCAAAAAATTCAGGCTAATTAACACGGTGCATTTTGACAATTTATTATCAACAAAAAAGGGCAGCTTTGAATAAAAGCTACAGTGGTTGTTGTATATTTTGATATAATAAAGACGAAATTAGATTTTAATATGATAAAGACGAAATTAGATTTTAATATAATAAAGACGACATTAGATTTTAATATAATAAAGACAACATTAGATTTTAATATAATAAAGACAACATTAGATTTTAATATAATAAAGACAATATTAGATTTTAATATAATAAAGACGAAATTAGATTTTAATATGATAAAGACGACATTAGATTTTAATATAATAAAGACGACATTAGATTTTAATATAATAAAGACAATATTAGATTTTAATATAATAAAGACGACATTAGATTTTAATATAATAAAGACAATATTAGATTTTAATATAATAAAGACGACATTAGATTTTAATATAATAAAGACAACATTAGATTTTAATTTGTGATTTCTACCAGGCTTTAGACAGCATGGGACAGTGGACAAACACAAACATGGAAACAAAAAACAATTGTCAACAGCTGGGGGCTTTATTTTTTTCTTTCCAGGGGGTGGGCTCAGCACCCATTAACCTTACAGCCTGACTATACGCCTTCTCTTTGTTCACTTGTACAGTGTACTGTATACACCAGGGAATAGAAAGAAAGGGAAAGGAAAAGGCACTGGTCTGGCATGAGAAAGCCAGTCGCACTAAGTTGCAGACAAGTTCGGTAAACCTTACACACACTCTTTTGGTGCAGACACACAACATGACTACAGTCAAGGAAATTGCAGAACAATGTTGTCAATTATAATTAAGCATGATTAACGACTAGTTTAATGTAAAACTTTAATCAAATTTTATTCTTTGCAGAAAATTTGACTTATAGTGTTGACTTAAATCTATAAATAATATACTACATGTATATTAAACTTATTTTAAAGTAAACAATTAACAATAAAGAAATTTACTCTCCTATACTGTACAAACACCAAGATTAGTATGTACTGTACATACCTACAGTACACGCCTTCGGTCCGGTAAACTTTACACACACTCTTTTGGTACAGACACACACACATGGCGTCTGGTATACACTTGTAATTTGAAAAAAGCTTGTAAAATAAAAAAGTCGTCTTCTTGGTATTGATGTTAACGCGGACCACTGTATTATAGAATGTTCTATCCAGTTTTACCATATTATGTCATAGATAAAGATAGATTGTGTATAAGACGACATTTTTCATCTTGAAAGATATAAATGTACAGAGAAGATATTCCAGGGAGTAAGGAATATTTCTTACTCCCTGAGATATTCCTATTATATAGATTAACTAGGTCGGTTGTGAACATTGGCTGTTCTTATGCCATTGAGTACTTGTGGTGTACATGAGTTCTGTAGAGAGAGTTAGTATAGTCCTTCTCATGTCCTTCTTCAGTTCTTGTCAATATGATATATTGCTCAGTGAAATATTGTTGTTCAAATAGTTCCATTCCCGGAGTTATTTTACACTCTATTATGAAATCCATTAAAACACCAAACCACCCCGCTTATCATTGAAGTACACTTTGACCCCTAGAAGTATGAGTTCGCTGACTGTACAATTCTCGGTGATTTTGCGTACATAAGCTATCTATGTTTATTTATTTATCTATGTATTATGTTCTTTCTGGCTTGTAGTTCAATGGATCTAAAGAGACTGAACTAAAGAGGATTTAATTAGAAAATTGCATCTAGACGTCAAGTGCCGTTTTATACACTTCACAAATTATTAATATATTCAAGTTTAATTTATAAATGTTAAATAAAGTTTACCTTGTCAGGTTGAGTCCTGACTTTCAAGTTGAAATTATGTTAAAACATTTTGTTGAATATTTGAAACGACATTGTTAAGCGAGGTGTAAAAATGTAAAAATGTAAAATTTGTTTATTTCGAAAATTGTTTCAGGCAAGCATATTTAATTTCAGGAAATGTGCGGGAAAAGACAAATTATTTAAAATACATAAATGAAAATACCATGTTGCCGCGATAAAGAAAATATGCAGGAGTTTTTGCCACAAAATCAAATTTTTTTTCCCTATATTTTTTTAACCTGATGGTGCAAAACTTTTTTTTCGTCACGTTCGCTTTCTAACCCCTATATTTATGCAACCTTATTGTGTAGCACTTTAATATTCATAACATAGGTTATTTTATTCAAAAGAATTCATAGTTTAAAATATCAAAGTTTATACTACATTGGGATGCAAAGATTAGGAAAATTAAAATTTCAGTTTGTGACAAAAAATCAGTTAATCTTTATCTATAGCTGTTTAATGTTTACCCCTAGTTATTTCTTATTGGCCTTTTACTTGTTTTTTTTCTTCAATTTATTTATTTCTATAATCATGTTTGCTTGCCTTTAGAAATTTTCAATAAAGGTAACTGATAAGGTTTTTACGCTAAATTCTGGAGAAAATTTCGGTGTGCAAGAAATAATGGAAAACAATATATTCAATATATATTTTTTTTAATGTCTTTCATATTCATGGTCTCTGGTGGGGATTTAGCTGAGCATGCCTTTGGATTTGTTTCGCACAATTTGATTTATTTTTTCTTCCATAGTCTTAACATGTCATATACATTTGTGTCTTGATATACAGGGTTACCCACAAAGACGAATGAATCTTAATGCATGGTTAAATTAAGTCTTCCGCCTTAAATATAGTCTTTTAATACAATGATTTGGCAAAAAAAAATTGTTTTTACAGTTGTAGAGAATCCAAGGTACTAATGCAAGGAAAGTTATTTCAGAGGTGTACGCATTTTATGTACTGTAGTGTACTGTTTTGGCGGAAAAGTAAACACAATACGATGTCGAAGCCTGACATGGAATCCATTTTCACAAAAATAAACTATGAAATATTCTGGTCATAGGAAACTGTTATGTGAATTTTCAAAATTATCAAAATTAAATGTTTTAAACCTCCTCGGATACCAGACGAACACTCTTGCATCTATTCTTGTTGACAAAGTCCACCCTGAGAGAACTGGTTTTAATATATACGTAGAGTATACGCAACTGCAATTAACTTTCCATGCATTAGTATAATTCCGTACAATCGTCTCTACAGTCTCATCCTTCGTGAGTGAGCTTGCAGTTAACAAAACAAAAATGTAAATTTATTGAAAGAGATTGAAAGTGTATTGAAAGTGTAGTAAGGAAAGGAGCTGGCGTTGTGAAAATTTGAAATATTTTGAATATTTCTTGTTTTAATATCCCACCAATAGATGGAGCTGAGATCACATCTATTTTTTCCATTCCTGCATTGAAATAAAATTAGAATTTGTGTTCTAAAAAAGTCAAAAGTCCCGCATGGTTACTGTTAAAAGTACCCAACCTTTAAATTTCGAAGCTTACTCATTATTAAGTTAAAAGTCACTCATCCTGAAGTCAAATTTCCAACATTAAAAGAACTGTAAACGTTATTTCAAATGACCCTTCATGAAAAGATTTTAATGTTCTACTTCTACTGCAAAATCAGCAATTTTTGGCAAAAATAAGCGATTTTTTGTCGCTTACTAACAAGCTGTATAATTATCAAATCAATAACTGAAAAAAAGTCCAAGGACAAAGGGAATCATACTAAATACAGTCGCCGTCGTGTATATCTATACAATGAAGACGACTTTCCATTTTAATTTTTGATTTATACCACGCTTTCAAACAGCATATATATTATATATACATAAACATGGAAACAAAGAGAAACTGTCAATTAACATCTTCTCTTACTTTAATTTTAAACTTAGAATTTGAAAAAAAACTCGTTTGAAATCAAAACCTAATTAGAAAGTCGTATTCATTATACTGATATAATCGCTGACCACTGACTGATGGCTAGTTTAGAGTCGACTTAAAGGTCGTCTTTGATCTTTTCAGCTATCTTGGGACAAAAATAGGCGAGGCAATGACCATGAATCATGGCATTTGTGCAGTGTAAACAGACCCATTTTACTAATTATTAGTTAGTGTCTTGTATAAGCTATTTGCTTTGCAACAACATTAAATGCACTTAAGTGTTTCATGTTTCTTCAAGAACACTTTGCAACCTGATCGTGTAAACCTGTGCTATTTCGAACTGAATTTATTTGATCTGACAGAATTCATTTTGAAATATATAAGGTCTACGGCAAATTGCGAGCAATCCATGCTTTGTCGCACATTTTTTATAATATTGTCAAAGAAATTCAGTCAATCTTTGTCACAAACTAAAATGATCTTATCCCTATATCATTGCAACCTGATCGTGTAAACCTTTGCAATTTCGAACTTAATTTATTTGATCTGACAGAATTTATTTGAAATATATAAGTTTAAGGCAAATTTATGGATAAAAAAGTGTGCATCAAAGACTTAGCAATTCATTTCTCCATTTTTATACATATATCCAGGTTGAGTCAAAAGAAAAAGAGTGAATAGCGAGATCTTGCATTTTATAGAAGCATTTTTTTTGATAATCTCATTTTTAAACCAATATGTATGAAATTAAGAGAAAAAATTTGAATAAAACTTTTGAAAAATCGCAACTGAAGGTAAATTTTTTATATAGATCTTAAAATCCTTTCCTGGGGTCTTGTGACACGTAAAAGCAAGGTCATAATGCAAGGAAAGTTATTTTAGAGATGTACGCATCTTTTGTACTGTAGTGTACTGTCTGTGAGCAGTAATGTAAACACAAGACGGATGTCGAAGCCTGATATGGGATCCATTATCAAAATTATCAAAATTTAATGCTTTTAACCTCCTCGGATACTAAACGAACACTGATGCATCTTTTCTTTTTTACAAATTCCGCCCAGAGAGAACTGATTACAATTTGTACGCAGAGTTTACGCAACTGCAATTAACTGTCCTTGCATTATAACCTTGCGTAAAACTAACTATAAACTGTATAAGTACGTACATCCTGTTTGTACGTATACTAAATATTTTCAGTCATATTTTTAACTTTAACTCAAAACCCGTCGAGAAAATAGCGCCAACAAGTATATATTTATCTTAATATCTAAAATTAGGTACACAAATTTTTTAAATGATAAAAAAGAAAAAAATTTCGAAAAAAATAGTTTCCGCAATAAAGACAACATTTCGCGAAAATAATTCCGGGGGGCATATCACACCCTCACTCCTCAGAGAAGTGTTTAGGATCTGGAACCTTTTTCTTCTCCCAAGGGAGTAAAGGGGATAATTTTTGAAACTAAATGTTCTTGTTTGAAAAAGGCATATTTATCATTTTTCCGATTTTGTTTTCCTTTTTTAAAAATCTGCTTAAACCTTGAAAACATTTATATGAAGATTTTTATTAACAGAAAAAATGTGAAAATTCGAGAAAAAGTTTGCGAAATACGAAAGATAATTTTTATATTTTTTTGCGAAAGTTATCCTTCTCTGGGAACCCTATATTTGACAAACCTATAAACACACACCCAAGCAAGTAATATTTATGTTTATATGTAGATTTTAAAATAATATGTTATCACCCCCTCTCCCCCCCCCCCCCAACACACAACTCAACCAAAGAGAATAGAATATATATTAGAGTGGAATTTAGACAATCCCTTGGTATGAATTTTGTCAGTCCCTTTCAGCCTGAAAGGGAGTTCAAAGTGTACAAATCATGTAAATATTCACAAATTATATGCAGTAGAGTACATTAATACAGTAAGTTCCCCAGACTATCCATTTCAATTTCGAATATTTTAAAGCTGTTAAATAAACTTTATAATGAATTAGATGATTAAAAAACATCATTTGATTTATAGTTATAACGTAAAATCATCGTTTGTAAAGTGAAAGGAATAGAGTCTATGTGAAATGATCATTGGTTAATTATAAAACCAGCCTATTTCAAATTTGGTTTTCTTTTAGATTTTTTATAAAATGATATTCCAGGGACCAAAAGATTAAATAGCACAAATATGTAAAGTACACCTGCAGTATGGAAACATTACAACAAAATGGCCTTTTTACACTTTTTCTGGTACATTCCACTCTAATATATATTCTATTCTCTTTGAACTCAACGTACGATATTAACGCTATTTAACCCCTGGTCCTCTTAACATTATTTAGTGTCAACTCACATAAACAAAGGGAAAAGTCATGGACAGTCAAATTTAGAAAAAATGTTGTGTAGAAAAAAGTTCAAAAACCTTAGAAGTAATTTTAAAAAATGAATTGACTCATTATCTTGAAAGATAAGCATGTTTTATCACTAAATTTCACAGTCTTCTGAAATATTTTGTTTTAAACCCTTAAAAGGGAAAACATTATTTTATTTTATGTTTTTAATTTATAAATTAATTATTCTTAGATTTTAGTAATTTTTGTACGATTTGTACAATACTGTAAATTATTTTCAAAAAAAAGTTTATTTAAGTTTTTTCATAGTGTTCTAGAGATCAGCATTTAGACACTATCAACAGCTAAATTTGGGCTTTCACCAAAGGGAGATCATTTTAAGCAAATTTTACGCTATTTTCTCTCACATTTTTTTGCAATTATTTGCGCAATTCTTGCGTATCAAGCGGCACAGATTTTGCGCTAAATTTTACATTCCGCATCATGCGCAAAAAGTATTGAGCAAACATTTTTTTTACCAATAAAATAATTTGGCGCAAATTGGGCAAATCTAAAAAATATTCTATTTTTATCTATTTGTTAAACAATTCATATACAAAAAATACAATGTACGTACATAGTGTCCTAGTAAATATGGCTGCGTTTATTTTGTTGGATTCTGATAGTTGCAATATCAAAGAGAAGCTATTTTATTAGATTATTTTTTGGGGCCTTTCTCATGTTATTGTATTCTGATGTTATTGTACAGACCCGGGCAATGGATGGGACTTTCTGATGTTATTGTACAGACCCGGGCAATGGATGGGACTTTCTGATGTTATTGTACAGACCCGGGCAATGGATGGGACTTTAAAGACGACCTGAAATTCTGAAGATTTCAAGGTTAAATTAGATCTTAGGTTGTTAAATGGTCTTTTATATGTGTTTAACCCTATTCCTGCTGGGGGGGGGGGTCAATTTGACCCCCCTGTAGATTTTTTTACTTAACTCAAAAATTATTAGTTTGAGGATTTTCTGACTTTTCCTAAATACCCATAGCCCTCCCTTTAGATCTAAAACCAGGTTTTAACTAACTGCCTGAGTCTTCAGGCACACTGCCTGAATGACTACTTTTCCCTGCAACAAACTAAATAATTGTTTTGACTCACTTTCAGTTGTCAGATTTTGATAATGTTTAGCTTTTTGATATAAGAAAACAGATTGCAAAAATTTTGCAAAGAAGTTATTTCAAATTTTTTTCATACAACCTGTCAAAATAGATCAGTACATTTTTATTTTTCATAATTTCACATCAGGTTATTTAAATATTTTCTATTTTTTGCATATTTGAAATGGCATGGTCAATTGCTTTTTAAAAATGTATATTTATCATTTTTTGACATTTTTTTGGCAAGCATTTTTTCTATATAGTTTGATTTAGCAAAAAAATACAATTTTTACCAATTTGCAAGTTTTTGCGGATTCTAAAAGTAGAGCATAAGAGCGTTCCAATTACGTATTATTTGTCATATTTGGATATCAAACATGGGATTTAGAGGGGGGCCCCCCTAGCGTATCCTGGTTTTCAAGTACAGTCACATCCAGAAAACTCCGAAATATAAAGACGACTTTGTAGCAATACTTACGTGGTTTTGAAGTTGTTAGAAAGCAAATAGGTTTACTAAATACTTATTAAATCACAAATCAAGTAAAATGAGTCTGTTTAAACTGAACAATTTCTGTATCCCAGGCTTATTGGACTATCTAAAGTCATAATTAGAGTTTAAAAGTCGTCTTTCTATTCCAGAGTTTTCTGGTTATCACTGTACCCCTGCAGGGATAGGGTTAAGAAAAAATTAAAAGATACAGGGAATTATAACTGCAGGAAAGAAGGCTAATACAATTCCGTACATTAGTCTCTGACGACTGATCCTGTACAGTGTACATAAACACTGCACATTTACTCTACCCTCACTTAGATATTCATTTGAAACCAATATATTACTTAATAATCCCACACATTATTTTAACAATAAAGGAATTGAGTCTTTGCCACAAACTCTCAAAAAAAATCTTTAGAATTCAATGTCGCAAATCCTTGATATTTCAAACTTACATTATTTGATATTACAGAATTCATAGTTTGAAATATCTAAGGTCTACGACATTGGAATCCAAAGATATAGGGTTTAGAAAAGTAAAGTTTGTGGCAAAGACTCAATTCCTTTGAGACAGAAAGACATGTAAACAAGTGTCTCAAAATCTAAGCTAAATGATGTTAAATCTTTATGAAACTATTTTTTACTTCTGAGCTTGTCTCATTTTTTAATATTTGTAATTTTTTGTTGACTTTCCTAGTCTGTCCTAGCCATAACATTACAGTAACGTTGTGTATTTTTACTTACGCAAAATTACGTGTAGTTACATAAAATTAATAAATTTTTGCTGAATTTTGAAGAATTCTTCAATCGAATTTTCAGAAGGTATGCACTACGCACGCATATATTAGCCTGAATCTTTAAGATAAGGTAGAGAGATGCGCTAGATTTAAAGTTTGAGAACAATTATGTAAAGATCAAATTAGATACTTACATGAACTTTAAGCATTTATTTCAGAAAACATGGCATCTAAACAGTTTTGTGAAAAAGCAAACTTTCAGACTTGTTTCAAAGGTATTAAATCTATATAATAAAACAAGACATTGGTATATATTTTCCTTATAGCCAGCCAAACGGCTGGACCGAATAGGCTGAAATTTCTTCAGGGAACCCCTGGGAACACATAGACTAAAAAATTCTAAAATTTGTATTTTTCAAAAATCGAAATAAAAAAAAAATTTGTTAGTTCCACGGGCAACGCCGAGCCCTTCAGCTAGTATCATATGAAATAGAAATTTAGAGTTACTTTTGTCCAATGTCCAACCTAGACCAGACTGTTCTACGTAGAACCAATTTAAATTAACTCCGAAATAGACCCTAAGGATTAAGGATGACAAATTATCTTTATCTTCTCAGCAGAAACACTTGTAAGTGTTGATAACATTTTTAGAAATAAAACTTGGTTTTCTCAACTAATGATCATCAGACAAAGGTTTTAAGGGTACATGCTACTCTTTATGTAAATGGAGGGTTACTTTAAATTACTCCACAGCCCCTTTATGGAGTCTGAATTAATCTCTCATTTTTTCAAATAAGATAAGATGAGTTGTAAAAGTATTTTGTATGAGTAATGCAAGATTTTCAAATGGCTTAAGTTTAAACATTCAGATATTGTTCAAGATTGTTAATCCTTGCTTCAAGAGGTAATTTTTCCCCTGCTAAACTATTGTCAGCTGTTTAGGGCTGCATGTTTATTATGAAAAATCTATTCTTAAGTCTAAAGTAGTCTATTAAATTTTCTTATTTTAGGTACAATCTGCTGTACCAGTAAGTTTGATAAACCATTCTCTCTGGTGATAGTGCCGGAAGAAAAGAATGATGAGTTTGATGATAACCTTGAAAAGTATGAAAACTATGTTGCTCTGAACATTGGACCGGATGGTGCTGAGTTTAAAATAAAACTGGGGGAAGATAAACTTGAAACCTTGAAAACATGCTCCAATGGACTGGAAGAAGGAGTTAGGCAAACTTATTGGTGGTCATATGACAAGGATGGAAAGAAATTGAAATATGGAAAAGGTCACACCATGGATAAAACAACATTGATGTCCTATGCTTTTGAAGATAGCTCTTATGACAAATTTAAACTCTTCTTAAATCCCAACACTAACTGTAGGAGTACAGTTCTTCTCTATGGTAGTTTGAAGGATTGCAAACAGGACAAAATTAATGAAGGATCCATTGACTATGAGCCTTTGATCTTGGTTAACAAAGAGCCACTAACCTTTACTCCATCTCCTATTCTAAAGGAGTTTAAACCAGTTGAATTGGACGATTTGGATGAAGCTGGCTACACTTTGCCCATTAAACTACCCCTTGAGTGCGAAAAAATTTTCAAAAACATAAAAAATATCAAGGTTCTTGATCCTCATCTAATAAATCAAATTAGAAACAGTATTGAGACAGAAGGTTTAAAACTCAATGAGGTACTTAAGGAAAAGTCGTATTTGAGGATTACTATTGGAGAAAATAGGGGGAACTCCCCTGGTTGTCCTAATGTTCTAGAGATATGGCCAGCTGGGGCAGAAAGTCCAATCCATAACCATGGAAGATGCAGCGCAGTAATCAAGGTACTCCATGGAAGTATTCAATGCAGTATCTTTAATAAGATCACAAACCCTCCAGCTAAGAGTCCAGAACATCTTGACATGTTTGTTGCTAGTGAGGGGGATTACACCTGGATGAATGACCGCTGGTTCCAAACCCATCAGCTAAAGAATGTGTCTGATGACTACTGTGCCACCCTTCAGTGCTATCAGTATGCTCCTGAGGACCCAACTCACTATCCACAGTTTGATTACTATAAACATGAGGAGCTAGCTAAGTTTGAACCAGGATCAGATCTTACCTTCGAGAAGATGAAGAAGATTGTTGCAAGGGAGTGGGAAGATAAAGCACAAAATGAGGTTGAAGAGAGGAAGCTGGTAGATATTAAGAGGAGAATCACAAGTCTGAATTCTAGTGGGATCCAGACAAAGGACATTAAGAATCTTGAGAGCCGTGTCAAGAGAATAGAGGATTTAAAGAATTTTATATAAAATCTTGAAAAGGGAATTTAAGTAGTCGACCTATGTCAAGACTGATAACTTCATAACTTCATAAAATTTCCTTGAAATTACAACTATATGTCTTCTTTAATTAACAGTTCATTTGTTATTATAAAGATTGTAAATGATCAACATTTATTTTTAAAACAAGTTAAGAATTCTAAATTTCACTTTGACGGCAAAGATAAATCCAACATTTTATTACCGCATAAAATTTTAACATGTTTAATTAAGATAAACATGAGTTATTAAACTTTAAAGTTTAATTTTGGAAAGATTGTGAAATGGACATTTTTGCAAACATTATAAATGTTATTGTATTTGGGCATTTGTAAAGCAGTAATATTTGCATCTGTTCTTACAAGCTGTAGTTACATCTGTTTTTAAAGGAGAAATTTTTGCTTTTATTCTTACAAGCTGTATTATTTGCTTCATGTGTTTCTACAAGTAGTAAATTTGCTTCAATTCTTACAAGCTGTATTATTTACTTTATCTGTTTCTACAAGTAGTAAATTTGCTTTTATTCTTACAAGCTGTATTATTTGCTTCATGTGTTTCTACAAGTAGTAAAGGAATTGAGTCTTTACCACAAACTAAAATTTTCCCATCTTTATAACTTTGCAACCCAATGTCGTAGACCTTAGATATTTCAAACTATGAATTCTGGTGGATCAAATAATTTAAGTTTGAAATATCAATGTTTTACACTATCCAGTTGCAGAGATATTGGGTTTAACAAATCTGAGTTTGTGACAAAAACTCATTTCCTTTGCTTCAATTCTTACAAGCTGTATTATTTACTTTATCTGTTTTAACAAGTAGTCAATTTGGCTTCTATTCTCACAAGCTGTATAATTATTTGCTTGTAATTTTTGCTTCTATTTTTATTTACAAGCTGAATTATTTGCTTCATCTGTTCTTACAAGCACTAATATTTGCATCTGTTCTTATAAGCTGTAATAGTTACTACATCTGTTTTTACAAGTAGTAATTTTTGCTTCTATTCTATCAAGCTGATTTATTTGCTATTTCTGTTCTTACAAGCAGTAATTTAAGTTTCAGGGGTCGCGGGATGCAGATGTACTGTAATATCATTTAAACTAACAGTCACAGAATGCAGATGAACTCTTACAAGCAGTATATGTATATATATTTTTCTGAATTGTCACCACATTTTGCTGCTTATCTGAATCCTTACCTTAATCCTTATCAGAAGAGGTGACAATTAATCAGAACAAAGCAAACCTATAAGCAGTCTAATGAACTGTGAAATTTCAAGAAATTTTCAGTTCTGATAATTATTCTAATCTGCGCATGTATGTTTGTTTTGCAACTTTATTGTAATTAATTATTGTTATTATTAATTGAATTTTTCTAAAACATTGATTTTAAGAAAATTTAAAAATAATCTCTTCCATTATTTTAAAAAATTTAAATTTTTAAAACAATGGATAAGGTATAAATTATAGATTAACTTGAGTTTCAGCTTAAATGCCAGCCCAAATCACTTTCAACTTAATTCAAACCAGAACTTCAAATTACAGCTTGAATATCAAACTTGTTAATTTTGGTGATTTAATTCATCTTAACCCATGATCTCGTACTTTTTCTCCATTTTGAGCAAGGAAAAAACAGACTTAACCCACCAAATACAATGATTAAATTATTAAATTTATTTCCATAACCATTCATTAATTTAAAAGCTTTAATTTCAGATTATTAAAAGGCCATCATGTCTAAACAATCTAGAATGATAAACCTGAAGGATTTTGATTTCCAAGATTTACTGGAATTCTCCTTGGCACCCAGCACTTATACTTCCACTTTAAATGATGTCGAATTCAAAATTTTGGATAACGCCAATAAAATTCTTGGGACGGTTAAGTCTCACAAGCTTCTACTCTCCCTAATGTCTCCTGTTTTAAAGAAGGTATTTACCAGCAAGGAGGAGGGATTAGTAATTATTGAGATCACTGGTCCTTCTCTTCTTAGCTTTCAGACCCTGATCCAGTTCTTGTACTCAGGAGACAAGTCTATCTTAACAGGTAGAGTTGAAAATATCATGCCTTTTTTCGGATATACATGAGCTATTTTTTTTAATTGTTTTAGCTTAAATTCGGCAATTATAGATCTATGAGAAATATTCCTGTTTAGATCAGATAGACTTGGAAGTTTTGTTTGAACAGTATTATATAGCAGACAAGTACGACTTGAATGGAGTTAAAACCCTCATCAAGGATGCTCTCTCCAGTTTTAACATCAACAAGAAGAATTTGATTACTGTTCTCAAGGCAATGAAGAAGTATGAGAAAACAAGCCTATTTGAGGATATTTGTGTTGGGCTCCTTATCAAATGCTCCGAAGGTATGTTTATAAATATGTGGATTATTTAAACAAGAGAAATTAAAAATTGAGCTGCTCTGGTTTGTCTGAGGTCTTAATAATTGACGGATTAATTTTATCTTGATAATGCTACAGAAAATACTTATATTTTAGGTTCACTTGAGGGCTGGATCTTCTCAGATGCATTTCTGGCAGATATCAGGGACTCTGAGGATACAAACTTTTATTTCTGGGTTAAAAACAAGACTGAGAATAGAAGCAAAGTTCAATGATGCCATACCAAAATTCCACACAAATTCAAATTAAGTCTTTAGTTTTCAAATAATTTTTTAAAAACATGGAAATATTAAAGAAAATAATGCAATTTAAAAGTATTAATTGTTTCAGAGCAATTCTGATCTGTTCAGAATTGGTAGAATGGCTAGTCTAAAAGATTATGACTTCAATGCTCTGCTTGATGATCCCAGTGACATGTTTAGCATTCAGCTAAATGTTATGAGCCAAGAGCATCAACTTTTGGGAACGGTCAAGTCTCACAAGCTTCTTCTCTCCCTGATGTCTCCAGTGCTGCAGGACATGTTTACCAGCCAGGAAGAAAATTGGAATGTGATTGAGATCAATGCAGTGTCTGTCCTTAGTGTCCAGACCCTTATCCAGTTCCTGTATAATGGAGATGAGTCAATTATAACAGGTTAGGTTAAATTAATACAATTAACAGCCCTCATCTCTTTTTTCCATTTATCCCAAAATAAAATAAACTTATTTTTTTTATGGAAAACGTTATTGTATTTAGGTGTAATGGACTTGAATGTGTTGTTTGAACTCTATTATCTTGGGAAAACGTATCAGATACGAGGGTCCAGTGATCTTCTAAAGGATGTAGTCTTTGGTTTCAACATTAGGAAGGAGAACTTGATTGATGTTCTCAAGCTGATAAAGAAGTATGAAGAAAATTATCTGTTCGAGGACCTCTGTAATATACTCCAAAGCAATTGTTTGGAAGGTATTCATTTTTTCCTAGTTTAAAAGAATTTTCACACATACTCTGACTTTTGAACTCCTTGTCTAAATATCATTCAGAAAACCGGGTTTCTGAAAATTAATTTGGAGGGATTTTTTCCCCCTGAAATATTCTTACATTGTACTGTAAAGTAAAAAAGTATAAACCATAAAAAAATTATTTAATAAACTAGGCTTTTAGGGCGCTTCGCGCCCATCTTCTATTTAAATTGTGAACATGTTCTTTTTGTTTACATTTTAAAAGAAGAAACAAATTTTGCGAATTTTAAAAAAAAAATTCGCAGACTTTCAAGAATTTAACTTTTTTTTACAAAATTAAAAACCTTTAAAACACATTTTTAAAAAATTTTTATCATTCATAAACCTTCCCTGTGGTCACATGATGTCCCACAAAAAATTTGGGCCCGATCGGTTCAGCCATTTTTGACGCTTATTGGATACAAACAAACAGACGCCCAAACAGACAGACAAGCCAAATTTATATATAGATATTCCACCTGCATTATAAAAATATATTAAGTATGATATATCTCTGAAATTGCTTTTTAATTCATTCTGTTTCAATGCATTTTTAGTCCTTTTTCACAAAAAAACTGAATTTTTTCTGAAAAAATATTAAGTCTACATTTTGGTATCAATGTTTCATGATTGATGTAAATAAACTGAACTATACTCTAGGTATAGTTTAATATTAATATCTGTGCAAAAAATAAATAAAAAATAAGTAGATGGGCCTTTATCTCCAATTGGCAGTCACAGAATGGTTTATTTAAGGACAATACTAAACATTTTGACTCTATGGGAAATTTTTGTGTTCATTATGTGTATTTTCCAAGTAATAATTTTGGTAAAAAATATTCTTTTTTAAAAGTGCATTGATGTATTCAGTAATACGGAAATACTGGGACTCAGCTCAATTATTCTTGGAGAATATTCAAGCTTGCCAGGAGAATATTCATTATGGTTGGGTGGAGAACAGGATTCAGAAATGGAGTGAAAATCCAACTGGTAAAATTTAGTATTTTAAATGGATTAAAAAAGGTACATTGTCCAGACCATTTTATACTAATAATTTAATGGGAAATGCAGGAAGTAAAAGTCACAAACCTGCAAAGCTCAGCATGTAAAGATCTGCTTCATATTTTTTTCATTTAGTTTAAAGCTTGGCCAAACCGGTTCTTAAATTACAGAAATGTTATAAAGCATTTTATATTTTGACGTGACATATTAAACAGGTGGTCTGTTGCTTGAAGAAGGGAGAGGGATAGAAGAACAGTTGAGATCTGCACAAGAAAAGATCTTGAAATTAGAAGGCATGAATAAAGATGATAGAATCAGAGATCTCACGGAGGAGGGAATGAAGGAGCAAGAAGAACTGAAGAAGGAGATAACAGAGACAAGGATAAAACTTGATGAAACAATGAAGGTATTTTGATGATAAAACAATTAGTATAATTTATTTCTATTAAAACAGTCAACATTGCAGAATAGAAAAAAGCTTTTCTGGAATTAATCTCAGATTCTGAACATCTTAAAGACTAAAACTAAGTCTTTAACCTAAACACCACCACCCCCCCCACCCTCCAAAAAAATCATATTTTTTATATTGTGCTCTTTTTTTTATTTACCAACAATAAGTGAATTAAAAGCAAATGCTTAGTCTTTGATGTAAGTTTTTCTACATATATTTGTTTATTTCACTTTTTAAACTTCACATTTTATTAAAAAAGAATTATACTAAACAAAATGTTTCACGCCTCATGACGATTCTCAGTAGTCAAAATTCTTTGAACAGCAATATTTGTTTACTTATAAAATGAGAAAAAAAATTGAATATTTTAATATTTCCTAAGACCAACGTTTACTTAGTGCTTTTTTAATTGCATATATAACAACTTTTGGTAACTATAAAGCGTTTATTTAGTGCTAACTAATCTTGGTTTTTTTTTCTCTCTCTATGGACAATTTTTTTAAATTACTTTTTGTATCTAAACTAACTTTTAGAAGTTTAATTGATGACTTTTTGTCACTAATATTGGAGTTCTTTGTCAAATTGTTCATGATGACAAATTTGCGATAAAATGAATTAATTCAATTTTAGAGTTTTATTTTCTCAGTTTAAAAATAACTAAAATCTTTATCCAAGATTTCCAGTGGATATTTTAAAAATTCATGAAAAATTAGATACAAACGATGCTTTATTTTTAGGCATTCCATCGTATCATACAATTGCTGGGAGTAGCATTAGCATGTATTGTTATTCTGGGGTTAATCCTTGGACTTATTCTTACACCAAAATGGAGTGAATATCAAAACGGTAAGATTTTTCTGTTACATAAATAAAGAAAGAGTAACAAACAATTGTGTAAAAAATAAAGATCATTGTTTGTATTTTTTTAATATTGATTTTCTAAGTAACAGAGATGAAAATTGAAACAATGAAATGTCAATGGTTTATTTTGAATAATTTTATGGTTAAATTTTATCTTTCCAATTTTAATATATTAGGAAAATCAATAATTTTTGAAAAAAAGAATCATTCAGGGTAAAAATCTTATCAGTTGATGTTCAATTTATCATCTTATCCCCCCCTCCCCTTTCATCTGAAAGAAAATAACAGTAAAAGAAGGTGAATTTCTGTGCAGTTTTTGCACTGATTTTTTGAGTGAATTTTTGCATGGAATTGCACACCGCTTGCACTAGCTAAAGGTTTGTGAAAGACACAAGCACTTTTGCGAAAATATTTGCTTTAACTGGGAACCCTACATAATGTGCATATAAAATTAGTTCTAAATCATATAATTTTGTACTTATTAATTTATTTTGCAGGTCCTGATTACCAGGCCGAGTTGGGAAAACTGGAAGCTGCGGGAAGGACTAAAGACAATACAATCCAGGAACTGATGAAGAGGATAGAGGAGCTAGTGGAGGAACAGCAGCTGCAGGGACACTGTAAAATAGGAGACTGGACTGATTACAGTATGATTAAAGATCTAGAACAAGAGATAGAGGAGGGATTAACAGAGAGACTAGGATTGGAG